GAATTTACAGTTTTCGTTTCACTGGGGACATACCCATCGTAATATCTATCGAAGTCCCAGGATTCACATCTTGACTGCTTAAAGTACTATCAGAAGTCTCGATTTGAGATGATTGACTTGGAGATTCCAACTCTTCTTGATTATCAATCGGAGTGTAATTTCGTAATTCTTTACGACAATTGGAACAAAGTAAATAAGTTTGGTCTGCATCTTTAATTTTCCATAAATCAGTTGCCGGAAATGAACATAAATCTGAGGTTTCTCGCGAGTCTAGAAAAATAATGAATCTATGTAAGGAACAGATCTATTAACGTCAACTATGATGCTTAATATTGGCGTGATACTTACGACTGACAGATTTATTAAACGGATTACAACAGACCTTCCTTTTTACATTTGACGACATTGTTGCTCTATTAAAATAAACAAAATAGCAAACATATGACGGAGCTTTCCGCTCGCTAATATCCGGCTGCTAACTAAGAACTATACCGAGTGTTTCCCGCGTTCTAACCTATTCTTGTATGCGTGGTTAGGGTGCATACTCATAGCATTAGAGTATATACTCATGAGACAGTCAATCAGATCGTGCATGAGTAAATATATAGTATTACCAAAATGCTCAAATACATAATAAATATTCAATATTATCATTAGTATTAGTACAAAAATACATTTTGATCATCAATTACAAGTATAGCCACATATAATGTGTACATATATATGTTTACTCATACATACATAATATACGAGTATGAGTATATCCATGTGAGCTGATATTTTATCACTGATTTTCACGCGTAAATTCGATTGTTTAATTTTCGGTTTTATTTTTTATACAGCTAACCCAATCCGTCCGCAAAAATGTTAATACATGTTTTGATGTAAAATTTCACGAGGAATTGATTGGTGAGGTCGATTTTGAAAAGAAAGTTGGGGTAAGTAGTCAAAAATCGATTTTTCTGAAAAAAACGCGTTTTCATCCTAGATAGCGTAACTTTTGGGTCGTGAAAATATTTTTATTGAAAAGCTGTGGAAATTCTGCGTATGTATGTATTTTTTTCAAATTATTTTCACTAGTTAGACATATTCGAAAAAAAAAATAAAAAATAAATTTCTACGAAAATTAAAACTTCAAAGGGCTACCTAGGGAGCGCAAATAACTTTTAGGGCGTAAATGGAGTGGATTGTACTTGTATTTTATGTGAAGAATCGATTCCTTAATGTCAAATAAGATTTTGGAAACCCAAAGTTCCAAACTTGGCCGATAATATGAAGAATGACCCATATAAATAATGTTACACCTGCGCTTGATATAATAGCGTGCTACAGAGCTCCGGGTCTTATGCTTACGCAACAGTGCTCGGATACTATCGTAAGTAATGTAAACAATAATAATCATTCCTTACTCGTAGGCGATTTCAACGCACATAGCACGATATGGAATTGTCGATACAACGACTCAAATGGATCAAAGCTTTATAATGCAATAGAAACGTATGATTTAATCATACATAATGATAATTCGATAACTTATATGGATATGCGCAATAATTCAAAATCTAATATAGACTTAGTACTTTCTAATACAAATTTATCTGACATACTACATGTTGAAGTATTCGATGAGACTTGGAGCTCTGATCATTTCCCGATTTTCATAACAATAGATGCAGAAAAAGTTTGTATAAAAAAAAATCGTTTAAACTAAAAACTATAAGTACTGATTGGTCAAAAGTAAATGAAATATTAAATAAAGAATACCTAAGCTTATTACAACTTGATTTCAATGAAACTCAACCGAGTAAACTATACTCTACTTTTGTGAATATTATTACATACGCAATCAAATTAAGTACACCTAAGTACAAAACTAAAAGAACTCGATTCAAAAAAAGTAACCCCGTACCATGGTGGGATTCTGAATGTGCGAAATTAATACGACTTAGACGTACATGCTATAAAAAATGGGAATGTACTGGTAATCTAGAAAACTTAGTAGAATACAATAAAATAGTTGCGCTTATTAAAAAGACTTTTAAAAAAAAGAAAAAGGAAAGTTTTCATAAGTTTGCTGCTAGTCTAAATTTTTGTACAAGTGCTAAATATGTGTGGAATAAGTGCAAAATATTTAAGAGTCGATGGATTAAGACAACGCCACTTAGTACTAATAAAAATTTACAGGTACAAAACGTAGAAAATGCTTTAAATAAAATCTGCCCGCCTTAGGTTAGCACTAATCCAAATAAAATATATGTATGTCAAAAAAATTCCTTTTTTGATGTACCTTTTAGCTTTGCTGAGTTTAACCTTGCATTAGATTCAAGAAACGCCAAATCTGCATCTGGCATGGATGGAATCGATTCTGGTATTTTGCAGCTTCTTCCAATCAATTATAAACTCATTTTATTAGACATTTTTAATTTGATGTATGCAAAAGGTGAATATCCGCGGACTTGGCAAGACACATTTGTACTTTTTATTGAAAAAAGCGATGGAAAAACATTTCGCCCGCTAGCCCTAACTTCTTGCCTCTGTAAGCTTTTCGAGACTATGATAAAAAATAGAATGCAATGGTGGGTGGAAGATAAAAACATATTACCGGAAAACCAATGCGGCTTCCGTAAAGGTAAATCTTGCGTGGATAATATTAGCAATTTAGTTTTAAAAATCATAGAAGCGTTTTCGGAAAAAAAAGATGTGCTTGCAGCTTTTTTAGATGTGCAAGGTGCATTTGATCATGTAATTATTGATATCTTATTACAAAAACTTGCTTCTATTGGATGTTCACAGTCACTAGTTAAATTTATTAGTTTTCTAACACGTGAAAGGAATATATTCACTGAGAGCTTACAAGATAGTCACAGAAAAGCCTACAAAGGCGTACCTCAAGGAGGGGTTCTTAGTCCCTTATTGTATATAATTTACTGCTCAGAACTTACAACAAACTTACAAAAAACTGTGCTTACTTCGCAATTTGCAGATGATTTAGCCGCATATGTAAAATGTAAATCTATAAAACGCGGGAAAAAAATGTTAGAGAAATCTATATTTATTATAAAAAAGAAGCTACTTGAACTGGGATTAGAAATAAGCGACGCTAAAACGATATTTGTACATTTTAACAACAAAAACATAAGACCAGGTAATACAGAAATAAAAATTAATGATATCACTGTAAAATCTAGCGATAATGTAAAGTTCTTAGGCATAAATCTTGACTACAGTTTATCATTTGTAAAACATGTTAATATAGTGCAAAAGAAATGTATCAAGGCGATGAATATTATTAAATTTTTGTGTGGAACTTGGTGGGGATCATCGCCAGAAACACTAATTGTATTATTTAAGAGCTTTGTCAGATCTATAATTGATTACGGTCTCTTTATTTATTATCCAAATCGTGTAGATTTAAAGTATAGATTAGAAAAAATTCAATTCGCTGCTATAAGGGCTTCATTAGGTTTCCGTATTAGTACACCAACTAATATACTAATCGCAGAAGCAAAATTAAATACAATTGAACACCGGGCAGAGCTTTTATGCAATCAATTTCTGGCCAAAATATTATCGAATGCAGATTCTTTAACTACTAAAACTATTAATCGTTTCTACAACATTATAAAAAACAAACTAAGAGTACAAAAAAATCTTTATGTTAAAAACATTGTAAATAGTACAAATATTACAAATATTATAGAAACTCGGGAGAAGTATAATATATATTGTAATAAATATGAATCAATAACTACTACAATCCCATATAATGTTGATACTGGTAAAAAATTAAAAGATAAAAGCGATCCAAATGTTATACTTAATGATATAATAAAGAAAAGCGATGCTCTAGCAATATTTACAGATGGTAGTAAAGTAGCAGAAGCTAATTGTGTTGGTTGTTCTGTACTTTGTCCTGAACTCAATATTAATAAAAAAATTTCAATCGAAAAACATGCCTCTGTATATACTGCAGAATGTGCAGCCTTATATAACGCATTTGAAATTGCTCTAGATTATTCTAATAGAAATGTATTTATTTTCACAGACTCACTTAGCGCCCTGCAATCATTAACATCTTTAAAAAATAGTGTAAAGACTAATTTTTATATTTTTAAAATGAAAGAAATGTACAACGAATTTATAAAGAAAACACAAAACGCTAATCAACTGAAACTCTTTTGGATACCTGCTCATACAGGCATTAATGGCAATGAGAGAGCAGACGAACTTGCTAAATCGCTACACATTCAGAATACCCAAATAAAACTAAAATTCCATTCACTGATCTTACAGAAACCTTTAAAAAAAGCAGTTTTAGAAATACTGAAAAAAAAATTGTAGAACAAGGAAAATACAGAGGCAAAACATATTTTTAGTTATATTATCAATCCAAGCAAAAATCATGGTATTCAGGGGTAAAAAACTTGAGCAGGGGTTTTATAGTCACTGTAAATAGATGTAGATCAGACCACTATAATCTTGCATATTCATTAGCACGTACTGGTTTTATTGATAATCCTTTATGTAAATGTGAAACATCTGATCAAACTTTAAATCATGTTATTTGGCAATGCAAAGAATTCGATACTCATAGACAAGGACTATTTAAATCCCTGCTTAAATACGGATATCAACCGCCATATAACATAGAATTGTGTTATGTATCAAACAAAAGGGAAGGCAGAGAAATAAGCAGGAGCAATAATTAAGAATGGATGTACATTAATAACCGAGATTTATTGAGATACTGATGCAATAAATGTCAAGCGTGTTACAAGCATGGTAGCCATTTTTTAGTCCCTCTGCGGCTCGCTCTGCAGCCGCTCGCTCGACTTCCACACACACATATTTTGAGGCACACACATACGCGCAGACCGTTTTACCCTAGCGCCCGAGTACACTTACGCTATTGCCAGAGCTGGCTTGCTTACGCTCTATACTACATATGTATCTTAATATGTATATATATATAACACTTCCCCGTGTAAAGTAGAAAAGCTCTACGAGCTTTTGTCTTCAAAATAATATTCATTTTCGGGGTAGCGTACGGGGCTTTTGGTTTTACGCTTAGGACTAGAACTAATCGACTCGCTGGTGCCTGGTTCAGGAGCGTTTATGGCTATTGTAGGCACTGCTTTAGTCAAATTACCAGTTTCATATAAGGAAACGCGCTCGGAATCAGGCACGAAGTAGTCGGAGTTATCACATGATTCAGTCGCTTTTACCGCAGAGATTTGATTTGCGTGTCTGGTACAAATTTTTCCATCACGCAGTTCAACCTTGTACAATAAATTACCCTTATGACCTAAAATCTTACCAAAGAGCCATTTAGCACCACTTACATAATTACGGACTAGTACTTTTTGGTTATTGTGAAATTTATTGAAATTGTTTACAGGCAATTTTTTGTTTGGTGTCGGGTTAAGTAAGTCTAATTTGCCTCTCATCTTTCTCCCCAAAAACAATTCAGCCGGCGTTTTGCCAGTTATACAATGAGGCATATTTCTGTATTGAACAAGGATCTTCCTTATGCTATCCGCAATATTAGTTGTATCACATGCTTTCTTTAAGGCTACTTTTATCATTTGAACAAACCTTTCTGCCTGACCATTTGAAGCTGGGTGATATGGTGCGGAAAATTTATGCAAAATGCCGTGTTCTTTTAAAAATAACTCGAATATTTCAGCTATGAAAGTTCTACCGTTGTCGGAGAAAAAGATTTCCGGCAGGCCAAATTGAGTGAAAATATCGAGGCATACATCGATAGTGGTAGAAATTAGCATATTTTTGACAACTGATTTGATTTCTGGCCACTTAGAAAAGGCATCAACAAGAATAAAAAGATACACACCCAGGAACGGACCGGCAAAATCAACATGGACCCTTTCAAATGGTCTGGTAGCAGGTTCCCATGGATGAATGGGTACTTTGGAAGGATTGTTACGATTAAGTATGCAAGATTCACATGAATGAGCCACTTTTTCAATGTCTTTATCAATGTTGGGCCACCAGCAATGACCTCGCGCTAAATTTTTCATTTTTACGATACCGAAATGTCCGGCATGCAATTCCTCCAGAACTCTCTGTCGAAGCTTTTCAGGTATGACAATTCTATCTTGTTTAAACAAAAAATTATTTTCTACAGAGAATTCTTTTGGATCGACATTCCAGGTATCTTGGTGACATAGTTTCTTGCCGTTACAAAGGCTGTTGATTACATATTGTATCTTTACGTCGTCGTTCACCAATTCACGCATGTTGAACGCATCAACAGATAAAATATTCATGGTTTGCAAATGAAAAACATCAATTTTGCTTAGGGAGTCCGCCGTATCTTTCTCCACAGTTACGGGTAACCTAGAAAGGCAATCCGCGTTACAATTTAATTCTGATTTACGATATCTGATGTCGTAATTGAAACCTCGGAGAAAAATGGCATAATGTTGCAAACGCATGGCATTGTATGCAGGTAGAGCTTTATTTTGATTAAAAATTTGTACCAACGGACGATTATCGCAAAGGAGAGTAAATTTTTGACCATATAAGTATTGGTGAAATTTTTTAACACCGAAGACTATCGCGTACGCTTCTCGATCAATTTGACTGTACTTTTATTGTATTGTATTTAATTTCTGAGAGGCGAATTGAATGGGTCTTTCACTACCGTCTTCGAAGCTGTGGGAGATGACTGCGCCGACTCCTACTGGACTAGCATCTGTGGCTAGTATCAAAGGTCTCGATGGGTCAAAGAATGTCAAACAGGTGTCACTAGTAAAAGCAGTTTTCGTGGACACAAAGGCTGTTTGACATTCTTTGGACCAAACAAATTTACAGTTTTTTTTAAGCAGGTTGTATAACGGTGCTAACAAAGTGCTAGCGTTTTTAATGAATCTACCGTAGTACATGATCATTCCAATGTAGGTGCGTAATTCCGAAACGTTTTGAGGTTGGGGCATATTTGAGACAGCTTCAAATTTTGCAAGATCTTTATGAATGCCTTTAGCGTTAATGATGTGACCACAGTAACAAATTTCTTCGTCGCAGAAGGAACATTTTTTTAAATTAATTTTAATATTGTGGTCATCCAGAATTTTTAGCACAGTGTGAATCAGAGTAATCAATTCGGAAAGGGACCTGGCAGCCAACCTCAAATCATCTTGGAAGACGCAGACACCTTTGACAGAGCGAAAAAGAAAATTCATACATTCTTGCCAGATGGCAGGCGCAGCGGCTATACCAAATAACATTCGTTTAACGCGGTAAAGTCCGCGAGGCGTGTTAATAGTGAGCAGATCTGCCGTCGCTTCGTCAACCGGAAGCTGGATGTATGCCCAGGCACAATCAATTCGAGCAAGACAGGTACAACCAGTGAGATCCATAAACATTTCCTTGGTAGTGGGCATATGACAGTCATTGACAATTAATTGTGGATTCACCGTGACACTGTAATCGCCGCAGACTCGGACATTGCCATCTTTCTTCAGGATGGGGACGATCGGAGTGGCGTAAAGTGAAGTCGATATTGGTTGCAATATGTCGCAGGATTTCCAGGCATTCAGAGCTGAGTCGACCGGCTTAATGAGACGAAACGGCACACTTCGAGCTTTAAAAAAAATAGGTTTAGAATCTTTCTTGAGTTTTAATGAGACTAAACCCAGCCCTGTAATAGGAGAAAAATCCTGCCGAACTACATTTTTATATTTAATAGATAATTCCTTAGCAAAGGAAATTTTATCAAATTTATGAATTTTTTTAGTCTCAAGTGAAAGTACAGGAGTAAACAAGCATTGAGCACCTTTATTAGATATGAACTTGTGAATCCATTCACGTCCACACAAAGGTGAACGGTTTACATCAGTAAGGTACAAGTTTAATAAAAATTTTGTATTTTCAAAATTTACCGTTACACCGATGAAACCGTGTACATTTACATTAGAATTACAATAAGTTACCAATTTTATGGAGGCACGCTGCAGGCTGGACTTTGGAAACAATCTTTTGGCATCCTGAAACCACATCAGAGAAACAGCTGCGCCGCTGTCTAACTCAAATTCGACTGTTTTGTCTTCAACAATGAGCTGTTTCATGAATTTTTCTCGGAGAGGTAAATTGTTGATTTCTTCAGTATCGACTTTGCATATGTCCATTAATTCCTGTCCATAGTAATCGTCGTCCTCGCTTTCATGGTCGCACACTTGATGTACTTGGTTGTCTGTGTAGTCGGATTTGGATCTGCATACCCTAGCAACATGTCCAGGTTTGTTGCAAGAAAGGCAAACTGTGGAAACCGGTAATCGGCAGGCATTTGCTTTGTGGTTAGGATTGCCGCATCTGTAGCAGTAAGGTTTCGTAAAATCCACCGGTGGTATTTTTCTTTTAGAATTAAAATTGTTTTTCTTCTTATGTACATCCGTCCTTTTCTTCTGAGCATGTAGATAATTTATGGCGGGTGGATCTTTACGAAAGCATGACGTCTCGCGCTCGCAGGTTTCCATCGTGAGTGCTGTAGTGACTGCTGTTTCAAAGGTTAAATCTTTGGTTTCGATCAACCTGCTTTGAATACGAGGAGTGACTAAACCGTAGACGAATTGATTCCGAAGAGCTTTAGACGTGTGGCTGCCAAAACCGCAATTTGCACTCATTTTTGTGAGAGCCGTTGCAAATTCTTGAATGCTCTCCCCTGGTTGCTGTTTGCGTGAGTTGAATTTGAAATTTTCGGCTATTTTAAGTACCGGCGGAGCAAACAATTCTTTTAGTTTAGCCACTAAAGTCTCGTACGACTTTGAATCAACTTGATCATCACCGAATGTGTCACATAAGGCATCATATGCGGCATCTCCAACATAATGGAGCAGAAACGTTGCCTTATCGGCAGTACTAACCTTCATGATTTTAATGGCACCTTCAAATTTCTTTTGCCAACGTACCCATTGCATTTCTCCTGGAATGAATGGATTGATGTTTACGGCACTGGGACTAGGTGCAGCAGGTGCAGCAGTAGTAGTAGTATCATTATTATCAGGCATCTCTGATTTAATTGTAGAAAAACTTGTAATTCTAGATTTTGCAATTCTAGAGGAAGTGTTTTGAATTTGTCAGTATTGTTGACGCACACGCGCACATTCACTAGTAGGCACTAAAATGTATGAACACAGTTTTATATGTAATTTGTGATTTGTATGTATGTGACGCGCAATTGTAGAATGTATGTATGTATGTAACGCACGATTTTCTAACCTCAAAAGAAAATACGTGTTATGCACTGAGACAGTAGAAGCAGAATGTATGTAAGTATTGTAACATACCCGAACACTCGTAATAAAACACTTGAAGTAATGCAGTTAAGTTATTATACCCCGTAGTATGCACCACGTGTATTGCGAAAGGCAAAAATTTCACTATCACTTTCGATACAAAAATATAGTAGAAAATAATATCCTCGTCGCCAATTTGTTATGTATCAAACAAAAGGGAAGGCAGAGAAATAAGCAGGAGCAATAATTAAGAATGGATGTACATTAATAACCGAGATTTATTGAGATACTGATGCAATAAATGTCAAGCGTGTTACAAGCATGGTAGCCATTTTTTAGTCCCTCTGCGGCTCGCTCTGCAGCCGCTCGCTCGACTTCCACACACACATATCTTGAGGCACACACATACGCGCAGACCGTTTTACCCTAGCGCCCGAGTACACTTACGCTATTGCCACAGCTGGCTTGCTTACGCTCTATACTACATATGTATCTTAATATGTATATATATATAACAAATCGTTATTAGAAATAATAGATATAAAAGCGTTAAAATCTATGTCTGCCTTTTTGAATGATGGTAAACTAAAAATATGAAAAATTGTGAAATACTTTGTAACATGAGAGTGTATAACCCTAAGTAAAGGGTTACAATAAATTAAAAAAAAAAAAAAATTTCGGAAGTATTTTCTAAAAAGAATTATTTAAATTAGTTAATAACATTTGAATTATAATCAATTTTCATATTTATAACGGCTTTTTTTCTAATCTTATAACGCAATTATTAGATTAATTATCTAAGATTTATAAATTATAAACTTGTCATTATTAAGTATAAAATTAACGCTTTCGTTCTATATACAACTTATTGTTTAAATAAATTATGAATTGTTTATTTATTAATAACAGTTATTATTAAGCTGTTATCAATGAAACCAATTCTTACTCAAGTTATGTATTAACTTATACAAGTTCATTTCTTATTCATTTTGCATTTGGACTATTTACATTTTTCTAATAATTCATATTTGTAATGTAATAAATAAATTAACTTTGCATATTAAAATTCATTATTATTGAATAATTAAACGGAATTCGTATGACTATATTCTAAATCTACGTACTAAAATCTATATAAGAAATACTTTGTTATATTAAAATTATCTCTAATTAACATATTTTTCTTAATACCAAAAATCATTATATCTATATCTATTACTTTGTGACGTCGCTTTCCTTATTTTGGTTATAAAGTTAGACTCTTGTACTAATACAATCAAATAATCAGTGAGGTGGCGCCGTTTAATGTGCTGATTTGAGTAAACAGATAGATGCGTTTGACGGGTTGCGGTAATTCAGTGATATAATAAACTAGCTCATAGATAGGACCGTTACACTGTTTGCTTGCTCCGCTAGGTTATTATTTTTTGGGCTGTACGCTTGGTTTGCGCTCTCTGCACTTATTGTCGCCCAGGTGCTTCCAGCCCCCCTTTATCCACTATACTATGGCTCAAACGGGCTAACACCTGTTAATTACGTATCAACGATTCGGGATCGCTTCGACTTATTGGTTATTATCGCTTTCGGCCCTAACTTACATTAAATATAACAATTAATAAATATGTCGAAGCGACTTCCTTTTCCCCTTGTAGGGTGTGCACCGCTCAAAATCTCGTATTGACACCCGCTCAAATCTTCCTAAGCGCTCGCGTAATCGTCTCTCTCTCCCGTCAATTACTTTCGACGTACAATCCTATACGCTAATAACGGGTCTTAATACCGGTTGGGGGCCATGTAACGGGGAGGATTAACTGATGCAAATTGGGTTTGTTTAAGAACAATCTTCCACGATGCAGAGCTAATCGCCGCTCCGTTAATTACGTATGAGAATATGTGTATTCGCCTTTACGATTGATACTTTCGATCCAATGTCTCCTTTTCAATAGAGTTGAACTCACCTTGAGCCATCTAATTTGTAACACTTTCTCTTAGGTGTAGACTAATGTTTTTTTTCCACTATTCCCTAGACAAAATCGGTTTAAAAGATATCAGATGACGGATCTGTTAAATTAAAGGGAAACGAAAGAACGTAATGCGACGAATAAAAATCAATCCTTTTATAAGAATAAAAGTTACAGTCTTTTGTGGGACGAAAGACTTGCGAACGCGTATAAGATTTACAATTATCCGAGGAGAGAGAGAGAGGGAGAAAATTCGAAATTCTACCTCGAACAACAACGCTCGGCGTGAATGCGATATTATCACTTGCGAATTTAAGTGAGGAATGATACCATCACGCTGAAAAAAGGTGGTGCATCTACTCTGCGGTGCAATTACGGTGATCAGCTAACGGCCAACGGTCAAACTTCCATATGAAGTGGCCTGACTGCTGGTTACTGATCAATTAGACAGATTCAAGTCGGGATTATATTTTTTTAGATTTCTTCATACCTTTTTATGCGATTCACTCTTCTATCGATGGTGAGATCCGCTAATTCCAGGGCTCCCTCTAAAACTGGCATGCGGGGGCCTATTTATTTATTGTCTAATATTAGATGTCTTGTTGCAAATATTGCCAGAAGATGAAACGAGAACACTTTCTGGTATTTTGCATAAAAATGAAAAGATTAATTTGTTTCTATGACAATTGGTTGTACAAACAAACAAGAATAAAAGCAAGAGTAAAAACAAGAGTACAAAAAACAAACAAATAAGAGGGGTTTTAAGGTTTGATGTTGTTACAACAGGATTTTTGCAATAAAAATGCAAAGCTCCACTTATTATGATAAGAATTAATAAACAAACATGGCAATTCAATTTGCGCTTTTTGCGACGAATCAGAATTCATCACATATTAATTGTAATCTGCAACAATATTATCAGAGAGGAAAATCAGATATAGGTACAATTATTAAGAAAGGAGAACTTGCGAGCATACTTTGAAAATTATCTTCAAAATTAGTACTTTACAATGCCTGTAAATCAGTAAATTTAGCCAAATTCTTGTATTCGTCATAGGTACTTTTTGTTTGAAAAATTATCAAGAAAGGAGTAAGCGACGCCAAAAATTTGATCACGGAATGGAATTTCTGGTAGGAGTAGAGATTGAAGGTAGGAAGCAGAGGATGGGAATGCATAAAGATGCAAGATAATACTTTAAAGAGAAGGGAACTTTGTCATGGAGGTGGATTAAAGGGAGGATATTATATTTGAGGTAGTGATCTGGGGTTTGAAGATATTCTGTGATAGAGGCGAAAGCATTGACATTAAGAGGGAAAGGGACAAATGGTAAGAGGGAGAAAGGTACAGAATTAGTGAGTTTCTCTGTCTCTATTCGGGTATAGAATTATTGAAGTTTAAATACTTTAATCTTTTAGCTGTGGGGGTGGTTGTTATATGGACCACTCTTGAGACATAGAATATTTGAAGTTCTTAGAATTCAAATTCTTCTTTGAATTTTTTAATTATTTTTTACGTATTCAGCATATCAAATTACATACGTAAACCGTCTAAAAACTTGACTTATAGTAGGAATAAAATTTGACCTTCAAATGGTGATTATCAAGGTCAAGGGTGTCTGCTAGAATTTCATTACTATTTTTTCATATTTAATAAATATCCTCTCAAATCTTTATAACAAAAGAGTGAGTGATTACATTGTACTTTACGTTGCCTGCGGGGCTGATCGATATATGGACCATCAGTCAGGTCAGCGACTCTATCTGAAATATCCAGTGATATTATGTATATACGACGGTGGATTGATAAGTTTCTGGCCTGACCAAGAGATGGTGCCACTCGGCCTACCTTGAGGTGGCGTTCTATAGTACCATCCTTAAATAGCTTGTAGCTATAGTTTCAGCCCGATCGCCATGTTAGTTTAGGTTTGAGAGCACACTGAACAAGACGCCTCTGTGTTTTTCTTAAAAATGGAAAAGCTGGAAAATCGTGCTGTCATCAAATACTTCTATTTGAAGGGGTTAAAGCCGAAGGAATCAAAGAAGAGATGGACTCAACACTGGGGAGATCCTCCCCATCATATTCAACCATTAAGCAGTGGGTTTCCGAGTTTAAAAAGAGTCGTGTGAGCACCTCTGATGAGCCTCGCTCAGGACGCTCTATTGAGGTCACAACTCCAGATATGATCGAAAAAATCTATCAAATAGTGCTAGAAGACCGCAGATTAAAAGTACGTGAAATAGCTGAGACCTGTAAGATGTCATATGAACGTGTGCAAAATATTTTGCACCAACATTTGCATATGGAAAAGCTCTGTGCAAGATGAGTGCCGCGTTTGCTAACAGTCGACCAAAAATTGATTCGAAAAAACATTTCTACCGCTAATTTGGCGTTGTATAAGCGTAATCCAAGCGAACTTTTGCGTCGATTCGTAATCGTTGACGAAACTTGGGTCCACCACTATACTCTTGAAACCAAAAAAAAGTCTAAACAGTGGATTGGATCAGGGGAACCGACTCCAAAGAAGGCAAAAACAATTTTTCCGGCGAACAAGGTTATGGCTACTGTTTTTTGGAATGCAAGAGGTATTATATACATTAATTACCTTGAAAAGGATAAAACTATCACTGGTCAATACTACGCAGACTTATTGCAATGTTTGAGCCACGAGGTGAAAATTAAACGACCTCATCTGGCAAAGAAAAGAATCTTGTTTCATCACGATAATGCACCAGCGCACAAGTCAATCGTTGCGATGGCTAAAATCAACGATCTGAAGTTTGAATTGATCCCGTACCCTCCCTACTCTCCAG